AATAATGGCATTAAGGAATCATTTCCAACACATATTTAAACACCATTACATACAGGTGGGCTGGACGCCTCAGTGATGCAGCACTGAGTGAAAACAACCAACATTATCTTTCTCTCCCGTTCCACAGAGAGCGTGCAAACAGGTAGGGTCATATTATTCAGGATGTGAAAACCACACTGAAACATTTTCTTTCAATTAAATGTTCCATTTCTCACAAAGAAAGTGGAAATTTCGAGCCATCACATTGTTTAGACTAGTAAGTTTGGGAGACTGTCATCATAAAACCAGAGATTTCAAAGATGATGTCAACTTCAGCACCTTGGACAGCGCCGACAAATCTGCTTAAAAATTAAATGTTTTTCAACCAGCTTAAACTTTAAACATCATAGCTAATGACTTAATCTGGAGGTGATTCATACCTAACAGATTTAAACATTCAAACAGCCTAAACGTTACAGTTTTACTGTCAGATTACGCAAATCTAAATCAAACTCCACATCCAGAAAGGAAACAAAAACAGCCATTTGGGGAACTATCATACTTCACTATATGTTATTTTATTTGTTTACAGAATTTACAGGATGGTGAAAAAGACAGGAAAGGGAATGCAGCCTGTACAACATGTGGTTGAGACAGTTTGGAAGAAGTTACAACAACATCCAGCTTATTTGACATTTGGACTGACAGAAAAGACAATAAATGTCGGCTTTACTTATGTAACATTAAGAGATTTTTATTTTTGTGCTAAAGTTAAAGAAGCAAAATATAATGTAAATTAGCTGATAATTCTTTTTCAGCAAAAATGTACTTAAACTAATCTCAGGTTGTCTTTAATAACGAAACATGCTTTAGAGGTTTATTTTCTTAAGTAGCCGATCACTAAGGCTGACATTCTGAATCTTAAGATGAGATGTTCATGACCCCTGACCTCTATAATGACCTTTGACATGCAGGACTTCTCTTCAGACTTCCTTGTCTTTATTTTAGGATTTTTTTAAAATTTTTTTTTTTTTTTTTTTTTTTTTTTTGAAACGGATTTGAAATTTGCATGCCGTGATTTGGGACTTGGATTTCATTACTTTCGACTTGCATATCTTGCGTTTGGACACGGATGTCTTGACTAGACTTGAGAGTTGAGTAACTTGAGATCTCCAAATGACTTGCTATACCGACTCTCATTAAAACCACGGCTGTCTGTGGAGCTTATATTGACATTGTCGATGATTTTTGTTACGTTTTGGTGAATTAAAATGCAGCATCAGACGTTTTTAGCAAGATTTGCTCATGTGTTGCTGCTTACTAAAGAACAAAAACATCCCAGAAGTTTAAAGTGAACTAAAGAGCCAAAGTCCTCTTTGTAAAAGAACTACATGTGAGTAAAAGCGTCTTCACCAGGAGGGAAAAAACGTGAACCAGCGGCGCAATATCGTTAATCAGGCCTGAGACGTAACCTGGCAAAGGTTTCAACCACTGCCAACATAATATTGGAAAGCTTTTCCGGTGCGGTAGTACGTCACGCCACTCTCTATTAGTTGCTATTTTCGTCCAGCCCTGGAAGACATTCATCCACCATCTACCCACCCTGACAGCTCCCAATAAACCCACCACTCCCATTCATCTCCATCCCTCCAGCCCAGCTCCACCCTCTTTCACCCTCCCTCGCTCCTTCTCCTCTCCGCGGATCTTACCGGGCAGCTTCGTGAGTTTAAAAAAAAAAAAAAAAAACCCTGCTTCGTTGAATTGGGGGTTTGTGCGCCAGGGAGGAATACACAAAAAAGTGCCGTTATTCTTACCAGGACATCTTTGTTTTTGTTCTTTTTTCAAAAGAGTTTGAGTCATCTGTTTAGACCAATCTCTCCAGCAGAAAGGTAAGAAATTCACTGTTTGGTTGTTTTGTTTATTGAGATTATTTAAGTGAAGTGTGGTGCAACTGCATTTTGACCGTCCTGACAGATGACTTAAGGACATCAATAACCCCTCATGGAGAAACAGTATCAGCACAAAAAGGTTTAATGCACCGTCCTAGACTGAAACTATGTTTCCACCTGTTTTAGTTCCATTTTAATCAACTGCGTGCATGTTGAAGTCGACGTTTTGTGTTTGGGAATGACAACTGGGCTTTTACGCATGGAGGTAAAAATGTAACTGCTAAATAATAATAATAAAATAGCCAAAAACTACAAAGAAGAGCAGTAGAGAAAGCGACAAGGCGCCCCGAATGGATACGTTTCGATTCATCCTTTGTTTTCCTGTCTTTTAAACTTTGTAAGTTGATAAAAAAGAAAAAAAAAAGCTTTTTAGGCGCAAGGAATAAAGATGTTTGTATTTTATTTTTTGTTGGTGTTCTTCAGGGAACTGTAGTCCCCTCATCCACTGCAGATGGTACCCATATTTTAAACGAGACTACACGCGTTTTCATTCTAAAATACTTGAACTTTTTATAATTGTTTTCCTTTTCCAAGCAGGAAATTAGGCAAAATTATGTACTTGGTAGTTTTTGTTGGGGAAATTATTTTTTTTTAATAAATAACTATTTCTATCCTTAAAGTTGTCAAAACAGTTTTTTCCATGTAAAGGGGTTGTGCGTTAAATACATAACGCTTTACTTCCAATACTTTAACCGCACAAAGTCATTATAATGAGGCGGTTGCGCATTAGACTACAATGCGCAAATTGTTTCGGCCAGTTCGGACTTGGGCTTCTGCATATATTTTGTTTTTATTATAACATTTAACCAGGTTTGTCTCATTGCGATCAAAAGATCAAAACTAAGAAAATGCATTAATTTCTTTCTGTTTCCTTTCAGTTTCCTCTATGAGGTTCCAGTCCGTTCCCAGTAGCACTTGATCCCGGTGGGAAGCTGAAGAGGAGGGAAAAATGACGATCCACGTCGAGGGTCTCGTGGCCATCGTCCTCTTCTACGTCCTGATCCTGTTCGTGGGGATCTGGGCCGCGTGGAAGAACAAGAACTCCGGAGTCGGTGAAGGCGGAGACCGCAGCGAGAGAATTATGGTCGGGGGCAGAGACATTGGGCTGTTCGTGGGAGGATTCACGATGACCGGTGAGGTGAAGGACTATGAAGATGATTCATTTGTTCACGAGTGGCCACGAATATTCCTTGGCTCCAAACGTCTAAAATGCAAAAAGGAAAGTGTTTTAAAAATATATATATATGGTTTTTTTTTCTTCCTCAGCCACCTGGGTAGGAGGGGGATATATAAATGGAACCGCAGAGTATGTCTACCTGCCAGACTATGGCCTGGCCTGGGCTCAGGCACCCTTTGGTTATGCTCTCAGCTTGGTATTAGGTGAGAATCATTAGCTTATTGCTTTATTTTGAGCCACATAAAGGAAAAAAATACATACACCCTAAGTAGGTAACAAAAGGAACAAAGAAAATATATACATCCACTTCTACACAAATATACAGTAATATACATACAGTAAGGAGAAACATTGTCTGAATCATCCATTTTATATTTTATATAACTATACTTTAATTGTAAACAAGAATGCATTTCACTGGAAAAGGAGTGAAAAGATATTTACTCCTACTCCCTGTGTATAAATTGTAGAAAGTTTTATTTGCATGTCTTGTGCATTCTTGCAAAGGTATACGAAAAGAAAAGTATAAAAAAGTTTCTTATAGTTGCTGTGTCAGATTAGCTTGGCCATTGCCTTCCTAGGAAAAAAGTTATTGCTTCCAGCACAGTGTGGGCTCTCTCCTTATTTTTACTCCTAAAATATTCTTACTTTTAGGAGTAAAAATATACTTAAAAGTATTTTTTTTTTGTTTTTTTTTTTGTTAAATAAGTCACTAAAGTAAATGTAATTGAGTAAATGTAACCAGTTACTACCCAACTCTGAGTACAAGGGGCTGGTTTTTACTAGTGTAAAAACTAGTGTCAGATTATCAACAGTCCAATTTTTGAAGTGACTTTAAAACCAACAATTCTTATATGGCAGAACATATTCCCCACTCTGTAGCTGCCCTGTTGCATCTTAGAGTCTAACTTAGGAGACTCTGGATGCTGTACACAGTGCATGATATAGTAAAAACACCACATCTGAAGATTATTTGTCCAAACTGAGTTTCTGACATCCCTCAGGTGGGCTTTTCTTTGCCAAACCGATGCGATCGCGTGGCTACGTCACGATGCTGGACCCTTTCCAGCAGCTCTATGGAAAACGGATGGGGGGACTGCTTTTCATCCCTGCCCTCATGGGAGAAATCTTCTGGTCTGCTGCCATCCTGTCTGCCCTGGGTGGGTTTAATCTGCTGTTTAATTTGCCTTCCTGCAGATTTGAGATTTTTAATATTGACTTGACTCTGAATGGTTGTCCTGCCATCATGCAGGTGCCACTCTGAGTGTGATTGTGGACATAAACATCAACATGTCTGTGGTGATCTCAGCGCTCATAGCCATCTTTTACACGCTCGTTGGAGGACTCTACTCCGTCGCATACACAGATGTGGTCCAGCTGTTCTGCATCTTTTTGGGCTTGGTGAGGTTAATATCTCAGGGATTAACTCTGAAGTGATGAATATGTCCAGGAGACTACTGGAAAATTCAAATGTAATAAAAAAATAAAAATAGTATTGAGTTACTTTTCAGAACACCATCTTAATAATGGCAAACTTGTAGTTTTCATGGTTTTGTCTTCATGACTCTGTTCATGTACTGGTGAACTCTTTCTACTAATCAGGTGACCACAAAAGGCAACTTTTCTCATTTTTATTTGTGAAATATTTTGAAAACTACCACTCTGCAAAAAAAAAGAAACCACTTTAAATGCTCAGTTTCTCTGATTTTACTTTTTATAGGTATATGTTTGAGTAAAATGAATATTGTTATTTTATTCTATGAACTACTGACAACATGTCTCTGATATTGCAAGCAAAAATTTAGTATTAATGTGCAGAAAATAACGAAAAAGATGCAGAGCTTTCAGACCTCAAATAATGCAAAGAAAACAACAACACTAATGTCTTTCCCCAGGAAGAGTTCACAAATCAGTATTTGGTGGAATAACCAGGAGGTTTTCAATGGAGTTCAGTGCAGTGCGATCTTCTTTTCTCCTGGAGCTGTATATATTTTTTCCTTCCACTAAATCCATGCATTAGCTTGTGTTCATCTATTAAATAAAAACCTCAGTAAAGTACAAAGAAGTCTATAGTTGTTGTAACCCAACATTAAGTTACAGGGCATGAATAATTCAACACAGCCATCGTATAGATGATGCTCTAACATTTGTATTCTGATTTTTCTCATCTTCATCAGTGGATCAGTGTGCCTTTTGCCCTTTCCAATCCTGCTGTGACAGACATCGGGGTTTCGGCCAAGGAAGCAATCTATCAGTCACCCTGGCTGGGCAAGATCAAGCCTGAGGACAACTGGCTCTGGGCAGACAACTTCTTTCTGCTGGTAAGCTATGGCTTTATGAGGGAATCCATCATTGAACTCTGCAACGCTTATAAAGAACATTTGAGTCATGGAGAGAGTTCAGTCTTGAAGGGAGTGCATTTGACGTGAGTTATTTAGACTGCTGAATGTGACGCGATGGCTCGAGAGCTGATTTTACTTTGTGTTTCCTTTTGTAGATGTTGGGAGGGATTCCCTGGCAGGTCTACTTTCAGCGGGTTCTTTCTGCCTCTTCAGCGACCTATGCTCAAGTTCTCTCTTTCCTCGCCGCCTTCGGCTGCTTAGTCATGGCCGTCCCGTCCGTCCTCATTGGAGCCATCGGGGCTTCCACGAGTAAATTCACACACACTCATTGTCTAGAGGTAGAAGGTGGACAAAAATATTTGGGTTTAAACTGACTTAATCAGAAATGTGTCAGGAGTTGTGTTTTATGTACAAAAACTTTATCGATATTCTGCTAATGTTGAAAAATCAGAGGTGGGAAAAGTACCCAAAAATTTTACTCAATTATAAAAATACATTGAAGTATTTTTACTCAAGTATAAAGTAAAAGGTAGCTGTCCAAGAAATCACTCAAGTAAGAGTAAAAAAGTATTTGATAAAAAGTCTACTGATGTAATGAAATTATCAAATATTTAATATTTAAGAATTGCATAATCAGACAGACCAAAATATAAAGTTAAGTGGAGATTTTGGTATTTTAAGAACCAATGTGACAGTAAGTCATATGAGTAACAAAATCGGGTAAAAGAAAAATTTTCCAAATCAGTTTCTTTCAATAAAAAACTTATCAAACTTTAACAAAAACTGCAGGTGAGTGTCTGTGTCTGAAGAATTTTTTTATTTAAAAAATATTTGTTTTTCATTCAGTGGGTAGAGAATCCAGAAATTTTACTCAAGTAAGAGCAGAAATACGTCATAACAAAAAGACTATAGTAAAAAGTACAGCGTGATAAAAATATTCCTAAAAGTATTTTTTTAAGTTACTCATGGAAATGGAAATGAGTAAATGTAACTAGTTACTACCCAACACTGAATATATTTAGTATTCTTTTTAAATATTTCTTCTAATTATTTGCAATATTGCCAAAAATCATGAAACAAACTCAAGAAAGTATGTTTGTTACTTTAAGAGGCATGAGTTGTGTTTCCGTTGCATTAGCAATTTTATGTTAAGTGTCGAAAATACATAATTTTGTAATTTCCATTATATAAAAAGTTATTTCAAGTAGAAATCCTAACTGCTGAATGGATTACTCAGTGTTTTATCTGGATTTGCATCAATCAGACGATGATCCACAGATCATCCTCACATGTAAATGAAACATGACCAGTCCAGGACTCTGATCCCTTATTTAAGCACAAAGTGTGATCAAAGCCTGTTTGGGTTGCTGACATCCCAACAGGTTTCTGTTTCACACGGCGTCTGGGGGGAAACCAGAGGAGAGCCGTCAGAGCGTGCAGATTTATTGAATATTACATCTGAAGAAGAGCTAATTATTTTGGTTCTTCTGAAGATTGTTCATGTGTAACGGCTGCTAAACAGTCGCTGCTTATGAGTATCCAGGGATTGGAGGGAAAACAGAGATCATGAAGCAAAAGGAAAGTTGAAAATCTTTCAGAGAAAATAGAGACTGGTAATGAAAGGCGTCCAAAATTATGTTGATTTACCATTTTTACTAAAGAAATGTGCAGTTCTTCAGTATTGTTTCTTTTTTCCTGTTACTCAGATTTCTTGTTCTTTTAATTTTACCCAGCCAAACAGAGAAGAGCTGGTAATCTCTGCTGTATTTCCACCCACAGAAAAGTCCAAGCTCTTTTGTTTGTCTGCAGCTAAAACATGTGTAACAACAGGGAGGCTCATAATCAGATTTAATGGTGAAACATTTTGTCTTAAAAGCAAATTTGGACCGAAACAGAAATCATAAAACATTTTGTTCAGAGCAAAAACCTTAGAAGATTAAACCTGAAGTGCTTTTTCAAAAACTTCTTATCCAGACTGGAATCAAACGACTTATGGTTACGTCGCTCCAAAGGACAAGGAGGAGTCTGACATGATCCTTCCCATCGTGCTCCAGCACCTCTGCCCGCCCTACATCTCCTTCTTCGGACTGGGCGCGGTGTCGGCAGCGGTGATGTCATCAGCGGACTCGTCCATACTGTCAGCCAGCTCCATGTTTGCCAGGAACATTTATCAGCAAGCCTTTCGGCAGATGGTAAGAGTACCAAAAGTTATTAAAGCCGGTAATAAATCAATGTTTTATTAAAAAGCACCTTTCTCTTCCAGGCTTCGGATACGGAGATCGTTTGGGTGATGCGCATCACCATCTTTGTATTTGGCGCTCTCGCCACAGCTATGGCGCTTTTAACTGGATCTGTATACGGCCTCTGGTACTTAAGCTCCGACCTCGTCTACGTCATCATCTTCCCCCAACTTCTCAGTGTGTTGTTCGTCAAAGGTACCAACACGTACGGCTCCGTGGCAGCGTACATCTTTGGACTCTTGCTGCGCATTGGTGGAGGGGAACCTTACCTAAGACTGCCTCCATTCATCTATTACCCCGGGTGGGTGATAGAGAAGAAGGTCCACCTCATCAGCGGAGACGTAGAGTACTTCGTCCAGCAGCGGTTCCCCTTCAAGTCCGTGTCCATGGTGGCGTCTTTCCTAGCAAACGTGGTCTTCTCCTACCTGACAAAGTACTTATTCGAAAGTGGCATGCTGTCTCACAAGTACGACTTCATGGACGCGGTCGTGTCCAAGCATAGCGCAGAGATCATGGACAAGGCCACGCTGGTAAGCAATCACGATAACATTATTCTTTCAGAGATGGCTCCGGTCAGGCAAGCCCTCGGTGCCACGCTTGCTGGGACCTTCACCAACGCCGAGGCCCTGAGCGACGACGGCGAGTCGAGTCCGGAATCCTATCACAGCAAGAACTAGACGACAAAACGCACAAAGAAAACTTGAACCGAGGAATGTGAAAGGGAAAGAGAGAATCAGTTGGCGTCCTTCAGGAAACTTGTTACTGCCACACTGTGAGCCAGATCAGCAGAAACGCTCTGCGGCTTCCAAGTGACTCCACAAGTTATGTCGGTGAATCGGTGCCTCCTCCTTTTGTTCATATCTCCTCTCTAGAAACTCATCTCTGACTCTGTATTGTACAAAGCTCGCAATTGTTTTAGTTTTTCTGACCATGGCTCTGTGAATTTACAACTGTTTTAGTTTAACTGCTGCTACTGTGGTGGAGCGATGAAGGGAAATTGTTTTTCAAGGTTGCTGGTTTTGAGAAATGTGCATTAGAACTAAGAAGCAGCATTAATGTCTGGTTGTCTTAGCTCAGGTTACCTATGTTGATGCATATACAGTGCCTTGCAAAATTAGTAATTCCCCTTAAACTTTTGTTAAATATCAGTGCATCTTATTAGGAGTTTATATGATAGACTCACATAAAGTTGGATCTTTAGCTGTTGCAGCTACATGTCGTTCAGGGTCATTTTTGGCATTATTCTTTGCAAAATCATTGGTTCTGCCCAGATTAAATGGAGCATCTGTAAACATTAGTTTTTCTTATTTGTCCTGCAGATTTACTTCTGGACTTTGCTTGTGCCAGTTGAACACATAAATATACTTTGATCTGCATTCAGTGCTATTATGCCTTACTTTTAATAATCCATTTTTTTCTTGCCACTTACCTTGACAGAATTACGATGGAGTATGAGAGCCACACTAAGAAAATAAAAAAAAATTACGACAATAAAATTGTACAAGAAGAAAAGCATAATATTATGAGAATAATGTCTTACTGCATTTTTCTTTAATGCTATGATTTTATTCTTAAAATACTATGACTTTATCCTGGTGATATGAGTTTATTTTCATATTACTAAAACTTTATTCTCATGTTATGACAACTTTTCTCATATTAGTACAACTTTATTCTTGTAATTTTATGTCTTTATTCTCTTAAAATTATTTTTGTATTTTTTTCTTATTATGGCTCTAATACTCTGCCGCACAGATTAGATGGATTTATAATGGAATCAAATTACACAAAAGTGGATTACTTACTAATTTGATAACTTCTAATGATATTGGGTTGCACTTGATTTTATTTAGGGGTGTCAGAATAGAAATGCGTACCAGGCATTTCAAATTTGTATTTATAAAAAATAAATTAAAAACCACATATCATTTCCCTTCTTTTCATAATTATGCACTATGTTTTGGTCTATCATATTCAATCCTAATGAAATACCACATGATTTGTGGTTGGATCACATAAAATGTCAAAGGTTCAAGGGCTATGAACAGCTCTGCAAGGTACTGTAGGTATGCCTGTGAACAAAGCAGCTTTAAATGACTGATCCAGGATGGTTTTGTTGAGTAGTATTAAGTTTGCATAAAAACCTTATCAATAGAGCAATAATATTTTAAGAATCTTAGCTTTATTTTCAGCCTTTTGCTGCTAAACCACTGAATAAATAGACATATGAGCTCAACAATAGAAGTTATTGTTTTTAATCTGGTTTTTAGACTATTCAACCATCACATAATGGTTGAATATGTGATGGTTGAATCACATATTCAGACATATTTGCACCAGCAAAGTGCTATTATACCCATTCAGCTTTCAAGTGTCACAGGAACTAAATCATTCAAGTAACTTCGTTGAAAAAACCTCTGTGGCGTCTGACGCTAGCTTTGGGGACGTGTGTGTTTGTTACAACACGCTTAGCATTGAGATGCTATTTTCGGCTTGAACCGTTTTAGTAACTAGCCAACTTCTTTTTGCTTCACAACAATAGTTTGTTTTTGTTTTATTTTTACATCGTCTACTAGATTGTTTTAGAAGGAAAAATTAATAGCCAGTGGGCCAAGAAATGCGATTTTGTCGACCATTGATGTTAGCGGACAACGTTTGTGCGTCAGATTCACGGGCGTACAAGAAACACAATACAAAGGTTCCGGCTTGGGACTTGTTAAGAAAACAAAATGCGTTTATTTCCATACATTTTTTAACACATTCAAATCTATTTTATTTATGAATCAAAATTAACACATTAAAATTCTGGTATCAATAAATTAGTGTTCTTCAAATGTGCATTTGTTTTAGTGACCCTGTCAGTATATAGAAGAATGACATTTATTTTTATGTTTTGGAGCCTTTATTTGGATTATGTACGTTGATTTTCTCCTAACAGCTAATGAAAACACAACACTGAATATGAGAATAAAATGATCAGATCATACAAAAACATGTTTAATAAAGAAATGTGGTGTTAATGAAAGAAATGTTTATATTCAAATGGAATTACTAAGTTCATCGGAGCACAAATGTTCAAATTTATTTTATATATAAATTTGAATATGTGCTCTTATGAAGCACACTGTGGATAATTAATTATTCAGCAACATCCCACTGATTTCTTATAACGTTATAAATTTTACCACTGCCAGGTACATGACCCTTACTGGAACTTTCCCTTTTTAAAATATGGTCAATTGATCCAGATTAAACTTCACAGAAAAATATCTGAGCATCTTTGAGACAACTCTTCTGACTACATCAAACTCCTAAGTTTTGTCGTTTTACATGTTTATGACAAACATGTCAGGATAAGGTTCACTTGCTTACTTGTTTTTTCTTTTAAGGGTATTCTTGATTATAATATGTAGTTATTAAACTGAACAAATTATTAATGTAAAAGGAGGCTGAATTTGAGGAAAATGTTTAATATTGATCACTGCAGCTTTAACATGCTCAGATATTTTGAATTTCATCACTCTGGTATCTGCTGATCAAAGACTTATTGTGTGTCTTGATATGTTATCAAATCTCTTGGTGTGTGTTGTGGCAGCCGGTCCTGTTGTGTGTTTATGTTGGTGTGTTGTAGGATTCTGCTGCGTAATTAACAAGGACAGGCCTACTCATTTTCCATTGAAACAGAGATGAGATAGAAAAAAAGGGGAGTAAAAAAAAACCTCAGAAATGTAGAGATAAATCTCAGAAATTTTCTTTTAAAAAAACTTGGACATTTCTGAGTTTCAAAAATTGAAAATTTGCTAGAAAAAAGTCAGAAAATTTGAGATTTTTGAGTTTCAAAAATTTAAAAATTTTCAATTTTGGAAATTTTCTTAGACTCAAAATTCAAAAATGTTAAATTTTTGTAATTCAGAAACTTCCACGTTGTTTTTATAGAAAATTTCTTAGACTTATCTCAAATTTTAAATTTTTTTTTGGCAGAAATTTACTTCTCCTTTTTTCCATCTGCACTGGCCCTCCATTTATCTTCCTATCTATCAACTCCAACCCCACAGCCTGATACTGCCACCACCATGTTTAGCTGTGGGGATTATTCTTTCCAGGGTTGTGTGCGTGGCATTTTGCCATTTTAAACAGGGGCATCAGAGCTAAATAAAACTGTAAAATAATACATCTTCAGGTTTTTATTTATAGAAAAAGTTAAAGTAACTCATAATTTTCTTTCAACTGTTGAAGTAAGCTCACTGTGTCAGAGTCTGAACATAAAATCCTAATAAAATACAATGAAGTTTGTGAAAAATTGTAAAAGTTCAACAGGTGGTTTGGCAAGGCAATGTAAACAATATTTTGGCTATGCAGAGTTTTGAATTTCTGTTACTAGATAGCCATTGCTTCTCTCTTCATCTGAGTGCTCTGTAAAAATGAAATTTTAATAATTTCTTCCTCTATTTGAAGTGGGAAAGAATATTAATTCACATTAGCATCCAGTAAGCACATGTACGAATCCAACAATTGTCTGAAAAACATAAAAACACGTAACTAAAATAACATTTTAAAATGATCAGCATAACATCTAGCTCGTGATCTGCAGACCTAAAATTCCCGTCAGTGTGTTCTTGAGCTGCTTCGTTTGCTCATCCTGAAGCTTTATTGACTCCTCAGTCATTGCAGGTTCACAGAGACAGGAAATGATTGCTCCCCCCAGGACAGTGGTAGTATTACCGGTCATTATTGATCCAGCACCAAGTGGAATATCAGTCAGGACATTTGATTTATTCCACAAAGATCAGCAAAATTAAGTACAATAATACAGAAACTGTTCTTTTTACTGGTTAAGTATCCACATTACTTTCTGTTACTGACTCTCACATAAATATCCCAGATAGCACAGAATGATTGAAACAACATTGAATCAATGTCAGCCAGAAACAT